AAGCAGTGGTATCAACGCAGAGTACTTCATCATCCAAAACGAGTACACCGTTGCCTTGTTTGAACGCATTAATTGCGTTGACGACGCGCTCTTCGGCGGTGCCGAATTGAGCAAATAAAGACTGATTCATAGTAAATTCCTTGTAAATACATCGTACCAGAATCAGGGCGGGAAATGGGAAAGACCGTTTTACGATCGCAAAACGGTTTATTCTCTTTCATCCAGACTGTAACTGTTGGCTTTGGAATTTCACCAAATCTGCTGACTTTGCCTTACGACAAACGCTCGCGGGCTTGACCGCCAGTAGGGAATTTCACCCTGCCCTGAGAATGCGGCGATAGTATAGCGCAATTTACAGGGCGAAAAAAACGATTTTATTTATTGAATTAAATTACATAAAATAGACAAACAATAGCAATTCTCGCCGCACTTTCCGTTTTGTGCTACATTTTCATAAAGTGCGGTCAATTTTATGAGGGTTTTTCCATGTCATCCGAATATGCTTATCTACAAGAAAAACGTAAACAGTTGAAACTGAAAGTAAATGAGGTTTGTGAACAGGCCGGCATTACACGGGCTTATTTTAATCAGTTGGTCAGCGGAAAAATCAAAAACCCGAGTGCAAACAAGCTTTCTGCTCTACATCGCGTGCTACAGATTTCAGCCCAAAACGATAAGCGAATCGGCGTCATTTTCGGGAAGTTTTATCCCGTGCACACCGGGCATATCAATATGATTTATGAAGCCTTCAGTAAAGTGGACGAAGTGCATGTGGTGGTGTGCAGCGATACGGAACGCGATTTAAAGCTGTTTTACGACAGCAAAATGAAACGCATGCCGACGGTGCAGGACCGTTTGCGCTGGATGCAGCAGATTTTCAAATATCAAAAAAACCAGATTTTCATTCATCATTTGGTGGAAGACGGCATTCCGAGTTACCCGAACGGCTGGGAAAGCTGGTCTAATGCGGTGAAAAAGCTCCTGAAAGAGAAAAATGTCAAACCGACTTTAGTCTTCAGCAGCGAAATTCAGGATAAAGCGCCGTACGAAAAATATCTGGGTTTGGAAGTATCGCTGGTCGATCCGCAACGAAAATTCTTCAATGTCTCCGCGACTAAAATTCGCACTAATCCGTTTCATTATTGGAAATTCATTCCGAAAGAAGTGCGCCCGTTTTTCGCCAAAACAATTGCAATTCTGGGCGGTGAAAGCAGCGGTAAATCCGTATTGGTAAATAAATTGGCGACGGTGTTCAACACAACATCGGCTTGGGAATACGGACGCGAATACGTATTTGAACAACTGGGCGGCGATGAACAGGCAATGCAGTATTCCGATTATCCGCAAATGGCGTTGGGACAGCAGCAATATATCAATTATGCGGTGCGTCATGCTCATAAGGTTGCCTTCATCGACACGGATTTTATTACGACGCAGGCATTTTGTATTCAATACGAAGGCAAAGCCCATCCGTTTCTTGATTCGATGATTCGCGAATATCCGTTCGACGTGACAATTTTATTAAACAATAATACGCAATGGGTGGATGACGGATTAAGAAGTCTGGGGGATGCAAAAGAACGCCAACGCTTCCAGCAGCTGCTTAAAAAACTCCTGGATAAATACAATGTTCCGTACATTGAGATCGATTCACCGAGCTATTTGGATCGCTATAATCAGGCAAAATTAATTGTAGAGAAAATTCTGAACGAAGAAGAAATTGCGGATTTAACTCACGAAAACGGTTCGGTTTTTGAGCAATAGGAGGCGCTATGATTCTTTTCGCGGGTGATCCTCATGGCCGCTACGATCATTTATATCCGTTTCTGCAAAAAAAAGATGAAGAAATTGCATTAGTAATTTTAGGCGATTTACAACTGACCTGTTCCGATGAATTAGATAAACTCAGCGAATTGTGCGACATTTGGTATATTCATGGGAATCATGACAGTAAAACTCCGGCAGCCTTCGATGCGCTTTGGAACAGCAAATGGAAAACGCGTAATTTGCATGGAAAAGTCGTTGAAATTCAGGGAAAACGCATTGCTGGACTTGGCGGTGTTTTTCGCGGACAAATTTGGATGCCGCCGAACAAACCGCTATATTTTGACCCGATTCATTTTTGCCAATATTGCCCGCCGGAAAAACTTTGGCGAGGCGGCGTTCCGTTGAGACATAGAACGTCCATTTTTCCGCAGGATATAGAAATACTGGAACGACAACAGGCCGATATTTTAGTTTGCCACGAAGCGCCCAAACCGCATCCCACAGGTTTTTATGCCATTAATAATCTGGCGAACCAAATGGGAGTAACACAAGTATTCCATGGTCATCACCATGAGAATTTTGATTATCACGGACTAAACAGAAACGAATTCGAGATAATCAATGTAGGTTTCAGAAGCTTGACCGATTCAACAGGGAATTACTTAATTAAAGGAATAGACGATCGTTAAATTATGAAATCGTTTATATTGGAATAAAATAAAAAGCTCACAATTAATTGTGAGCTTTTTTAATTTATGATGAATTATTCCGCAGCTGCTTCAGTCGCAACTTCCGGACGATCTACTAACTCAATGTATGCCATTGGAGCGTTATCGCCTGCACGGAAACCGCATTTTAAAATACGGGTATAACCACCTGCACGTTGTGCAAAACGTGGACCTAATTCATTAAATAATTTAGCAACAGTTTCAACGTTGCGAGTACGAGCAAATGCCAAACGACGATTTGCTACGCTATCTTCTTTTGCTAATGTAATTAACGGTTCAACTACACGACGTAATTCTTTAGCTTTTGGCAATGTAGTCTTAATGATTTCGTGACTAACTAAAGCACTTGCCATATTACGGAACATCGCTTGGCGATGGCTGCTATTACGGTTTAGTTGACGACCACTCTTACGATGGCGCATGATCTTATCCTTCTCAGAAAAATCTTAATCTTTCGACCAATTAATCTTCAGCAATACTTGCTGGCGGCCAATTATCAAGACGCATACCCAGTGATAGGCCGCGTGAAGCAAGCACATCTTTAATTTCAGTAAGTGATTTCTTACCAAGATTAGGTGTTTTTAATAACTCAACTTCTGTACGCTGTACCAAATCACCAATATAGTGAATTGTTTCTGCTTTCAAACAGTTAGCAGAACGAACTGTCAACTCTAAGTCATCAACAGGGCGTAATAAAATCGGATCAAATTCCGGTTTTTCTTCCTTGACTTCAGGCTGACGAACATCACGCAAATCAACGAATGCATCAAGCTGCTCTGCTAAAATTGTTGCTGCACGACGAATTGCTTCTTCGGGATCGAGAGTGCCGTTCGTTTCCAACTCGATAACTAATTTATCTAAGTCAGTACGTTGCTCCACACGTGCTGCTTCTACATTGTAAGCAATACGATCTACTGGGCTATAACAAGCATCTACTAACAAACGACCAATCGGACGTTCTTCATCTTGAGTATGTGCACGCGCTGATGCCGGTACGTAGCCTCGACCACGCTGAACACGAATACGCATACTAATCGACGCGTTTTCATCAGTTAAGTGGCAAATAACATGCTCAGGATTTACAATCTCAACATCACCGTCATGAGTGATGTCACCAGCAACAACAGGGCCAATTCCAGATTTGTTTAGTGTCAGAAAAACATCATCTTTATTCTGAACTTTAACCGCCAGGCCTTTCAGGTTCAAAAGCACTTCAAGAATATCTTCCTGAACACCTTCTTTGCTACTATATTCGTGCAACACGCCTTCAATTTCTACCTCAGTTACAGCACAACCTGGCATTGAAGATAGAAGAATACGACGTAATGCATTTCCTAGAGTATGACCGAAACCACGCTCTAACGGTTCTAAAATCACTTTAGCATGCGTTGAACTAATCTGTTCAATATCAACTAAGTGCGGCTTTAAAAATTCTGTAACAGAACCCTGCATTTTATCCTCTCTTTGCTTTCAAGCTTTAACTATTATTTAGAGTAAAGCTCAACGATGAGATGTTCGTTAATGTCTGCTGATAAATCAGAACGTTCAGGAACACGTTTGAATACACCTTCCATTTTAGCAGAATCAACTTCTAACCAAGTCGGTTTTTCTTTTTGTTCTGCCAATTCCAATGATGCTTTGATACGAGCTTGTTTTTTCGATTTTTCACGAATTGCAATCACATCATCAACTGAAACTTGGAAAGACGGGATATTTACAACGCGACCATTTACAATAATCGCTTTATGGCTCACTAATTGGCGAGCTTCTGCACGAGTAGCGGCAAATCCCATACGATAAACTACGTTATCCAAACGACCTTCAAGCAATACCAGTAAATTTTCCCCAGTATTACCTTTCAAACGGTTCGCTTCTTTATAATAGTTACGGAATTGACGTTCTAAGATACCATAGATACGGCGAACTTTTTGTTTCTCACGCAACTGACTACCATAGTCAGATAAACGCGGTTTACGAGCACCGTGTTGACCAGGTGCTGTATCAATTTTACATTTAGAATCGATAGCTCGCACGCCAGACTTAAGAAATAAATCTGTGCCTTCACGACGGCTTAGCTTGAGTTTTGGACCCAAATATCTTGCCATTTTCTTTCTCCAATTATCCTAATGTCCGATTAAACACGACGTTTTTTCGGTGGACGACAACCGTTATGAGGAATCGGAGTCACATCTGTAATATTCGTAATGCGGAAACCCGCTGCATTTAATGCTCGAATAGTCGATTCACGACCCGGACCCGGACCCTTAACCATAACTTCCAAATTCTTTAAACCAAATTCTTTAACCATTTCAGCGCAACGCTCTGCAGCAACCTGCGCAGCAAATGGGGTTGATTTACGAGAACCACGGAAACCCGAACCGCCAGCTGTAGCCCAAGCTAAAGCATTACCTTGACGGTCAGTAATAGTCACGATTGTATTATTGAAAGAGGCGTGAATATGCGCTACGCCATCTACAACTTGTTTTTTTACACGTTTACGTGCACGAACTGGTGTTTTAGCCATTAATATTTACCCCGACTATTTTTTGATCGGCTTACGAGGACCCTTACGGGTACGCGCATTAGTTTTAGTACGTTGACCACGTACCGGTAAACTACGACGATGGCGTAAACCACGATAACAACCTAAGTCCAAAAGACGTTTGATGTTAAGTGTTACTTCACGACGTAAGTCACCTTCAACGGTAAATTTACCAACTTCGTCACGCAGTTTATCAATCTGCTCTTCAGACAATTCGCTGATCTTCACATCTTCAGCAATACCCGCCGCTGCACAAATAGCTTGTGAACGAGTTTTGCCAATACCGTAAATCGCTGTTAACGCAATTACTGCATGTTTATGATCAGGAATGTTAATGCCTGCAATACGGGCCACTATGCACTCCTATATTTTAACTAATTTGACATACTGATCTTGAAAAGCCCGTTTCAGGATACTCAAACAGTATGTCAAGGACATAAATGAGCTGAGCAGTATAACTGCTCAACTTGTTCTTTGCAAGATATTTATCGATTAACCTTGACGTTGTTTATGTTTAGGGTCGGTACATAAAACACGTACAACACCTTCACGTTTAACAATTTTACAGTTACGACAGATTCTTTTTACGGAAGCACGAACTTTCATTGCTTATCCCTTTTATTCAAACTGGACTATTGTCCAAAACCTTTAAGGTTTGCTTTTTTCAACGCAGATTCATATTTACTTGACATCAAGTGACTTTGAATCTGAGCGATGAAATCCATAATAACCACTACGACGATCAACAAAGACGTACCACCAAAGTAGAATTGAACATTCCATGCTGACATCATAATGTACGGAACCAAACACACGAAAACGACATACAGACCGCCGATCAATATGAGACGGGTCATAATTTTATCGATATAACGTGAAGTTTGTTCTCCTGGTCTAATTCCGGGTATAAATGCGCCAGATTTTTTTAAGTTATCTGCTGTATCACGAGGATTAAATTGCATTGCAGAGTAAAAAAAAGCTGAAGAACATGATTGCTATAGCATAAACAATCAAATAAATAGGTTGACCCGGTTGTAACATCATCGAAAGATTTGTTAACCATTCAAGGCTAGAACTCTCACCAAACCAAGACACTAATGTTGCTGGAAACAAAATAATACTTGAAGCGAAAATAGCTGGCATAACACTTGCCATATTCACTTTTAATGGTAAATGAGTTGAATGCCCACCTAAAATTTGTCGACCTTGCTGACGTTTAGCATATTCAACTTTAATACGTCTTTGTCCCCGCTCCACGAAGACAACAAAATAAGTCACCGCAAAAACAACCGCAGCAATTAACAAAAGAACCAGAGGATGCATTTGCCCTTGACGCGCCTGCTCAATTGTTTGACCAATAGCAGATGGCAATCCAGCCACAATACCAGCAAAGATGATTAGGGAAATTCCGTTACCAATGCCACGTTCGGTAATTTGTTCACCTAACCACATTAAAAACATGGTGCCTGTGACTAAGCTAACCACAGCAGTGAAGTAAAAACCGAATCCTAAGTTAGGAACTAACCCAGGAAGCATATTAGGTAAACCTGTTGAAATCCCGATTGCCTGCAAAGTAGCAAGACCTAAAGTCGCATAACGAGTATATTTACTAATTTTGCGACGTCCGCTCTCACCTTCTTTACGCAATTCACCCAATGTAGGAGAGACTGTTGCCAAGAGCTGGATAATAATCGATGCCGAAATATACGGCATGATTCCCAATGCAAAAATAGATGCTCGACTTAAAGCACCACCAGAAAACATATTAAACATGTCAATGATGGTGCCTTTTTGCTGCTCAATCAATTGGGCTAATACGGCTGCATCAATACCAGGAACCGGGATGAAAGAACCAATACGGAAAACGATCAATGCACCTAATACGAAAAGCAAACGACCTTTTAGTTCATTACTACCGCTTTGGGTACTTCTATTTTGATAACCTGGTTTTTTAGCCATTTATTAATTATTCCTCAACTGAACCGCCAGCAGCTTCAATAGCTGCTTTAGCACCTTGAGTTACGCGTAAACCGCGGACAGTTACCGCAGTATTGATTTCACCTGCTAAAATCACTTTAGCGAATTGAATATCTTTAGTAACTACATTCGCAGATTTCAACGCTTCTAAAGTGACGACATTACCTTCAACTTTAGCTAAGTCATTTAAACGAATTTCTGCAGTTACCGCAGCAATTTTCGAAGTAAAACCAAATTTCGGTAAACGACGGTATAAAGGCATTTGACCACCCTCAAAACCACGGCGAACTTTACCGCCAGTACGGGATTTTTGACCTTTATGACCACGACCGCCGGTTTTACCCAAACCGGAACCAATACCACGACCAAGACGCTTAGCGCTATGCTTTGCTCCTTCAGCCGGAGATAGAGTATTTAAACGCATTCTCTTACTCCTCCACTTTAACCATGTATGAAACTTGGTTAATCATACCGCGTACTGCCGGAGTATCAATTAACTCAACGGTATGGTGCATATGGCGAAGACCAAGACCACGCAACGTAGCTTTATGCTTAGGTAAACGAGCGATTGAACTACGAACTTGTGTTACTTTAATAGTTTTAGCCATTATCAATTACCCCAAAATTTCATCAACGGTTTTACCGCGTTTAGCAGCAACCATTTCTGGTGACTTCATATTTGCAAGTGCATCAATAGTTGCACGAACAACGTTAATTGGCAGTGGTATCAACGCAGAGTACTCATTACGAACGCCCGCAACTTCTAATACTGCACGCATTGCACCGCCCGCGATGATACCTGTACCCTCACTAGCCGGTTGCATAAATACGCGAGAACCAGTATGAACACCTTTAACCGGGTGCTGTAATGTACCATCATTTAAAGCCACGTTAATCATATTGCGACGTGCTTTTTCCATTGCTTTTTGGATTGCTGCCGGAACTTCGCGAGCTTTACCATAACCAAAACCGACGCGACCATTACCATCGCCCACTACTGTCAAAGCAGTGAAACTCATGATACGACCACCTTTCACAGTTTTTGATACACGGTTTACCGCGATTAGCTTCTCTTGCAGTTCACCAGCTTGTTTTTCGATGTTTGACATCTCAATATCCTCTATTAGAACTGTAGACCAGCTTCACGAGCAGCGTCCGCCAAAGACTGGACACGACCATGATATTTAAACCCGGAACGATCGAATGCGACGGCTTTAACGCCTTTCGCTAACGCACGTTCAGCAACTGTTTTACCAACTACTGCGGCAGCATCTTTATTACCGGTATATTTAACTTGCGCACTAATCGCTTTTTCTACTGTTGAAGCAGCGGCAAGCACTTCTGAACCGTTCGGTGCAATTACTTGTGCGTAAATATGACGCGGAGTGCGGTGAACTACTAAACGAGTCACACCTTGCTCTCTCATCATATGACGAGCACGAGCTGCACGACGGATACGAGCTGATTTCTTATCCATAGTGTTACCTTAAATTATTTTTTCTTAGCTTCTTTAGTACGTACAACTTCATCAGCATAACGAACGCCTTTACCTTTATAAGGCTCTGGTTTACGGTATGCGCGAATATCTGCAGCCACTTGACCAATTAATTGTTTGTCAGCACCTTTCAATACAATTTCTGTTTGAGATGGACATTCTGCAGTAATACCTGCTGGTAAAGTGTGCTCAACGGGATGAGAGAAACCTAAACTCAAGCTAACAGTATTACCTTTCACTTGTGCTCTGTAACCTACACCTACCAGTTGTAATTTTTTAGTAAAGCCTTCAGTAACACCAATAACCATTGCATTAACCAATGCGCGAGCCGTACCTGCTTGTGCATCTGCACCAGCGAAACCTTCGCGCGGAGCAAATGTTAATGCACCGTTGTTTTCTTTAACTTCGACTGAATTATGAATAGTACGAGATAACTCACTATTCTTACCTTTTACTGTTAATAGCTGACCGTTCAAAGAAACTTGAACACCGGCAGGAATATTAACAGGTGCCTTAGCAACACGAGACATTTTCCTACCTCTCTATTAAGCTACATAACAGATGATTTCGCCGCCTAAACCCGCTTGGCGAGCAGCACGGTCAGTCATCACACCTTTAGATGTAGAAACTACGGCAACACCTAATCCGCCCATAACTTTTGGTAATTCGTCTTTACGTTTGTAAATACGAAGACCAGGACGACTTACGCGTTGGATGCTTTCTACAACCGGTTTACCTTGGAAATATTTTAAAGTAATTTCCAATTCAGGTTTTACACCTTCTAAAACTTTAACGCTTTCGATATAACCTTCAGCAGCTAATACGTTGGCAATAGCCACTTTTAGCTTGGAAGAAGGCATACTGATCGCAACTTTATTCGCAGCCTGCCCGTTACGAATGCGGGTCAACATATCTGCGATTGGATCTTGCATACTCATTGTATTTTATTCTCCGATTCCAAAATAAAGTGGTAAATTACCAACTTGCTTTTTTAAGACCTGGGATTTCGCCACGCATTGCTGCTTCGCGAACCTTGATACGGCTTAAACCAAACTTACGAAGAACGCCGTGAGGACGTCCGGTTTGGCGACAACGGTTACGTTGACGGCTTGGGCTTGCATCACGCGGTAAAGATTGTAACTTTAATACCGCATCCCAACGATCTTCATCTGATGAATTAGCGTCAGAAATGATTTTCTTCAATTCCATACGTTTAGCATAGAATTTTTCAGCCAATTTAACGCGTTTTACATCGCGTGCTTTCATTGATTGTTTAGCCATTGTAACCTGCCTTATTTACGGAATGGGAAATTAAAGGCAGCGAGTAGTGCTTGACCTTCTTCATCATTCTTCGCCGTAGTGGTAATAGTAATATCTAAACCGCGTACACGATCAACTTTATCATAGTCGATTTCAGGGAAGATGATTTGCTCACGCACACCCATGCTATAGTTACCACGACCGTCAAAAGACTTCGCACTTAAACCGCGGAAGTCACGGATACGTGGAACAGCAATTGTAATTAAACGTTCTAAGAACTCCCACATACGCTCACCGCGTAGTGTTACTTTACAACCGATTGGATATCCCTGACGGATTTTAAAGCCTGCAACAGATTTGCGAGCTTTAGTAATTAAAGGTTTTTGACCGCTAATCGCCGTTAGATCCGCTACCGCGTTATCTAAAAGTTTTTTATCGGTCAATGCTTCACCCACACCCATATTCAGGGTAATCTTTTCGATTCGTGGGACTTGCATGACAGATGCGTAGTTGAATTTAGTTTTCAATTCATTAACTACTTGATCTCTGTAGTAATCATGCAGTTTCGCCATCGCATTACTCCAGTTTGTTAAATAATTTCATTGTTAGATTTGAAGAAACGGACTTTTTTGCCGTCTTCGAATCTAAAACCTACACGGTCAGCTTTATTTGTTTTCGGGTTGAAAATCGCTACGTTTGACGCATCAATCGGAGCTTCTTTCTTCACTAAACCGCCTTCTTTACCTAAAGCAGGTACCGGTTTTTCATGTTTAGTGATGATTCTTACACCTTCAACAATCACTTTACCATTTGGTAACACTTGAGTTACCTTGCCGCGCTTGCCTTTGTCTTTACCAGCAAGTACGATTACTTCGTCATTTTGACGGATTTTAGCAGCCATTACGTTCTCCTTATAGTACTTCTGGAGCCAAAGAGATGATCTTCATGAATTTCTCAGAACGAAGTTCACGAGTCACAGGTCCAAAAATACGAGTACCGATAGGTTGCTCAGTGTTATTGTTTAAAATCACACAAGCATTGCCATCGAAACGAATAACTGAGCCATCTGGGCGACGAACACCCTTCTTGGTGCGCACAACAACCGCTTTTAGCACATCACCTTTTTTCACTTTACCGCGTGGAATCGCTTCTTTTACGGTAATTTTGATGATATCGCCAATAGCAGCGTAACGACGGTGCGATCCACCTAGAACCTTGATACACATTACACTGCGAGCGCCTGAGTTATCAGCAACATCCAGCATAGTCTGTTCTTGGATCATATTAGTGCTCCGTTAATTAAATAAAACACCCTTTCGGGACTACTTACCCAATGTAAGCAGTTCGCGGAGTTTATCAGATTAAGCCAATGAGATCAACACGATTTTAAAGATTAAACAAATTTAATAGGCACTCAAAATAGCGAAAAAGTGCGGTCAAAAAACTTATCAAATTTTGCCCGCACTTTAGCATAAAAAAGCCCGGGCATTTCTGCCGGGCTTTCAAGTTTTAAGTGTAAAGATTAAGCAACGGTTGCTTTTTCTACTACACGAACTAAAGTCCAAGATTTAGTTTTCGATACCGGACGACATTCTCTGATTTCGACCGTATCACCTAATCTTGCTTCGTTGTTCTCATCGTGAACGTGTAATTTGGTTGTACGACGGATAAATTTACCCAAAAGCGGGTGTTTCACTTTGCGCTCGATGGCGATTGTGAAAGATTTATCCATTTTGTCGCTGATTACACGACCTTGAACAGTACGAATTTTATCAGTCATTACTCACCCGCCTTTTGATTTAATACAGTTTTCACTCGTGCAATGTTACGACGCACTTGTTTTAACTGGTGGGTTTGTTGAAGCTGACCGGTGGCTGCTTGCATACGCAATTTGAATTGCTCACCTAACAGGTTTGCTAACTCAGCATTCAGCTCTTCAACATTTTTGTTACGTAGTTCTTGAGCTTTCATTACATCACCGTCTTAGTTACGAACGTTGTTTTAATCGGAAGTTTCGCCGCCGCTAATGCAAATGCACTGCGTGCGATTTCTTCTGAAACTCCGTCCATTTCATAAAGAACTTTACCTGGTTGGATAAGCGCTACCCAATATTCCACGTTACCTTTACCTTTACCCATACGAACTTCTAATGGTTTTTCGGTAATCGGTTTATCCGGGAATACACGAATCCAGATTTTACCCTGACGTTTAACCGCACGCGTCATCGCACGACGAGCCGCTTCGATTTGACGAGCTGTTAAACGACCACGACCAACCGCTTTTAAACCGAATGTACCGAAGCTGACTTCTGTACCGCCGGCGATACCGCGGTTACGTCCTTTGTGGACCTTACGGAATTTTGTACGTTTTGGTTGCAACATTTAGCAGTTCTCCTTACTTACGACCTTTGCCGCGTGGTGCCTTTTTAGGCGCAGCCGGTTGTTGTTCTGGTTGTTGTGCAATTGCAGCCATTCCACCGAGGATTTCACCTTTGAAGATCCATACTTTAACGCCGATTACGCCGTATGTCGTATGTGCTTCCGCAGTGTTATAATCGATGTCCGCACGTAATGTATGTAATGGCACGCGGCCTTCACGATACCATTCGGAACGTGCAATCTCTGCACCACCTAAACGACCGCTTACTTCAACTTTGATACCTTTGGCACCCAAGCGCATTGCGTTTTGTACCGCACGTTTCATTGCACGACGGAACATAACGCGGCGTTCTAATTGTGAAGCGATGCTGTCAGCAACTAATTTTGCATCCAGTTCAGGTTTTTTCACTTCAGCGATATTGATTTGTGCCGGCACGCCAGCGATTTCCGCTACTGCGTTGCGCAATTTCTCAACATCTTCACCTTTCTTACCGATAACGATACCCGGGCGAGCTGTGTGAATTGTAACACGAATGCTTTTAGCCGGACGTTCAATAGTGATACGTGAAACCGAAGCATTCACTAATTCTTTATTCAAGAATTTACGTACTTTGAAATCGCCGTCAAGATTATCGGCGAAGTCTTGTGTATTCGCAAACCAAGTAGAGTTCCAAGGTTTAACAATACCAAGGCGAATACCATGTGGATGGACTTTTTGACCCATTTGTTATTCCTCTACGATTAACGATCCGACACAACCACAGTGATGTGGCTTGTACGTTTTAAAATACGATCTGCACGACCTTTAGCACGTGGCATTACACGTTTCATGCTAGGACCTTCATCAACGAAAATCTTAGCGACTTTAAGATCATCGATATCTGCACCGTCATTATGCTCTGCATTTGCAATAGCGGATTCTAAAACTTTTTTAACTAAAGCTGCCGCTTTTTTGTTAGTGTAAGTTAAGATTTCCAATGCTGCCGCAACTTTTTTACCACGGATTAAATCCGCAACTAAGCGAGCTTTTTGCGCTGAAGTGCGAGCGTAACGATGTTTTGCGATAGTTTCCATCTATTTACCTCTTACTTCTTAGCTTTCTTATCCGCAGCGTGACCGCGGTATGTACGAGTCGGTGCAAATTCACCTAATTTATGTCCAATCATTTCATCGGAAACATAAACAGGAACGTGCTGACGACCATTATGGACTGCGATGGTCAAACCAATCATTGATGGAATGATCATTGAACGACGGGACCAAGTTTTAATTGGTTTTTTGTCCCCGCTTTCCACCGCCTTCTCTACCTTCTTCAACAAGTGTAGGTCAAGGAAAGGACCTTTCTTGAGAGAACGTGGCATGGCTTATCCTCTTAATTCAATTTAAATTATTTGCCACGACGACGTACGATATATTTATCGGTACGTTTGTTGTGACGAGTTTTCTTACCTTTGGTTTGAACGCCCCAAGGAGTTACCGGGTGTTTACCAAAGTTACGACCTTCACCACCACCGTGCGGGTGATCTACCGGGTTCATTGCCGTACCGCGAACAGTAGGACGAATACCTCTCCAGCGACTTGCACCGGCTTTACCCAGTACACGAAGCATATGTTCGGAGTTACCGACTTCACCAACCGTTGCAACGCATTCGGCCAATACTCTACGCATTTCACCTGAACGTAAACGTAAGGTTACATAGTTACCTTCACGAGCAATGATTTGTACATACGCACCGGCAGAACGAGCGATTTGACCGCCCTTACCAGGTTTTAACTCAACGTTATGTACGGTTGAACCAACCGGAATACTACGCATCGGTAACGAATTACCAACTTTAATCGGCGCATTTACACCGGCTTGGATTTCATCGCCCACAGACAGGCCTTTAGGT